CCCCCCCGGCCCCGGAGCCGCTGCCAAAGTCACCAGGGGCATCCAGCACCTCCATAAATCTGCAGGTTTCACCTTGTTCCGAATGCAAGCAAGTCTTCTCCGTGCACTGGATGTTCCTGAGATGGGAATGGAGGCGGGTAATTGCAAGGTTTTATTTTATTTATTTAATGACCTGGAAGATCTCAGAAAGAATTTATGTCGGCTGGTACGCAGCCAAGCTGCCCGTTGCAGGGCTTGCCGTTGCAATTTGCCTGTTCTTGGCAGGGATAAAATCTCTGAAAATGCAGGTCAGGTTGGTGTTTCTGTAGCTTCTGTACTGGATACTGCATATATCAAAAAAAAAAAAAAAAAAAAAGTAGTTTTTCAGTATTTCCTCATCTCACATTACAGATATAAGCAGGAAATGTGGGGAGTTGCAATAGTGAGATGTGTGGGGTTTTTTTGTTGTTGTTTTTTTTTTTTTGTGCTTTCTAGTTTTTCACAATTCCCTGCTATTTAGCTTTATGGTGAGCTGTGACCCCCAAATTAAATGATACTTTCTTCTGACATTTTTACTCCTTGCATGCTCATTTCCTTGTCTTATGAACCTAAATTTTAATCTGAGTACTGACAAAAAAGCACAGTTTTTTGCTGGGGGAATGAGGACTGGGTTGTATAGAGTTGCTTTCTTGTACAGCATCAGCGGATTAAAGCTTGGGAAAACATTCCTTATAATAGATAATTTAAGGAGCAAATTCTGTCAAGGTGTCGGCATGGAGCTGACATGGTCTTTTTGATGAACAGACATTGAGTGCGGGAGGACTCTCCGGTTCAGCTGGAGACTGAGCCAAGGAAATCCAAATTAGAAGGAAAGTATGTACTTTTAAGGGGGGAAAATCAATTATGGGGAATAATTACTAAGAGTGGTAGCAAATTCTCTCTACCTTCAGCTTTTTCCCTAAAAGATGTCCTCTACTTTGGCTATAGCTGTTGGACATACAGGCTGGGTGGATGGAGCAAAACTGCATGGATTATGTCCTGGAGAACCTCCACCTGGTTGACCACGGAGATTTTGCTTTGCCTTAAAGCCTATAAAATGGAAGGAATAACATGGGCTCCAGTTCCATCCTACCTCGTTGCTCCAAAGCAAAAACCCCTGTGTGATCTGGTTCAGGCCAAGGTTTCCCAAAAATGGGAGAATAACGAGAGAGAATAGATAGGGCTTCACAGTGCCAAACATCAGTTGCATTTGCGAGAAA